GACCCTCCTCCGGAGTGGGGTCACAGGGTTGTGGCGCTGCAGCCATAGCTGCAGCTTCCTCCTCAGAGGTCATCTTGTCAGGATTTGGTGGCGCTCCTGCAGACTTCCACCCAGGAAGTCTTCCGACACTTCTTCATCATCAGATATTGTGGCGCTGGTCTTCTTCTTCATCCTCTGAGTGGCGCTTGGCCTCAGAGGCCTGTTTCATGGTGGCGCTTCCCTTTGGAGGCTGTATCTGGGTGGCGCTTGATGTCTCAGGGGTAGTGATAGCGGTTCATCGGGGTTGGGGAGTGAAGCGCTGCTCATTTCTGAGCAGCGCATCATAGTTTTGAAGTTATTCTAACAATTCGAGACTCTGAGTATCATAAATAGTGTTGATACTGGGTTTGGACTATCATCGTTTCATTGTTTCCTGGATGTGATCTACTCGGCTTCTCTTTATGACTGGTTGTGAGGATTGAGTGGAGTGAATTGCACTTTCAGTGTACCCTATCATATCGCATGGTCAAGTCTTCCGCTATGTTTATCTGTCCCTGTGCAGTGTGATGCTCTTACCCTCTCCCCTTCTTTCTGTGTATGTATGGGCATACCTGGGAGTTTATGTGAGTGAGTGTTGGTCTTCAGACAATAGACAACCAGAATCATAACAGTTGGTATCAGAGCGATTGGATCCAGATAATGGAGCGATTGATGAGTTGGGGCAACCATCATCATCTGGCGAGATACTGGAGTTGAGTTTCATGGCGATTCATCATCTTCAGGGTTGTTGTCAGTAAGGGTGGTGGTGGTGAATGTGTGGCGAGAAAAAATGGACAGAGGGTGACTCACTCCTGACTAGGGTTGTGCAGGAGTGGTTGGCGATTGGTGCTCAGAGGCCTGAGAGGCTCTGAGAGGCTATTTTAGCCTGGCGATTCATCTGGAGGCTGGCGATCGGCACAGGAGTGATCCTAGGAGGTTGCGATTGTGGAATTGGGTCAGGATCCCCAATTTCCAAGCAGCGTAGTACAGGGTGATTTAGCGCTTCATTTGGTTGTGAGTTATCTGCACCTGGAGTCAAAATTTGTTGAATCTGTCAGCTGGGGGTGAAGCGCCTCAGGGTAATCTGTTAAGTTTCAGGCAGTTTGGGACGTGGGAACACTGGGTACTACCAGGATATGAAACTGGCGAGATGGGGTTGGCTAGTCAGCCATAGCCAGAGTTTCATGCATCTTCTTCAGAGTTGAACCTGAAGTAAGTGTGTTCCTTACTCTTATCCTGTGTGGCGATTCTGGGGCTGTTTTTAGATTAGCGAAATATGGTCTATCAGTCAGTAGACAATCGAGAATCGAAGTTCAGATTGTGGGACAGTCATATCCAACTTCCCCTACCTACAATCTTTTACGTCTACTAACCTTTACCTCCTTTCTTACTCAAATTTCATGTGACTGCTTAATAGTATTTCGATTCATACTGTGTAGTGAATTGGTCTGTTCAGGGTCCTGTTGTCAGCGATAATGGAAATTTGAATTGTACGCTTCCATAGCTGAAGCCTGGCTAGACTAGGGTTAGTCATAACTCTTATTTTGTCCGTCAAAATTCAATTTTCTTAGTCCTTGGTAAATCGCAATTCAGTATATAGTGTCTGTTTGAAATCGCACTATCAGATTTGATGTTCTGAGTCGGTTACCGTGGAAATTGTAATTCGCCATACCTAGGGGCTGGCATACAGGGTCATACAGTGGTGAAGTCTTCAGGGTAGGTCTAAAAATAGGGTTTCCTGTAAATCGCTGCATCTTGGTCATCAATGGACCTTTGCTTATCACTAATTAGTCACTCTGTCTAACTTCTAATCTCTACTAATCAGTTCAGGATTACATCCTGCAATTGAATGATGCAGGATTTGCAATTATTGCGTGCAATTGTTGGTTCAGGGCAGTGATGGGAAAATCGTGAAATGGATTTTTGTTGAGTGTACTCTAAACTGACCTTGACCCTCGAGTGGTCTGCTGAGACTGAGCGCGCACTTGCTCAGACTAACCAACTTCCTCTCTTGAGGCACGTGGTAGCAATTGAGTGAGCACTGGAGAGAAAACTCAATTTCCACCTGTTTGTCTTTTGTTAATTGTTTTTATTTTTTATTTATCTTAATTGTGGAGATGGCAGAGACTGTGAAGGGAGAGGCTTCTGATGTGAAGCCTCAGATTCCGCTTGACCCTTTAGAGGCTGAACTGCAGACCCAGGAGGAGAAACTCCACCAGCAGGCCCTGGCAGTTGAGTCCCTAAAGGTTGAGCTGAAAAAGAAAGAAGAAGCAACTCAGAAGGAGGCCAGGAGAAAGTTGTTGATTGCAGATGTGGAGAAGATCAGGACAAGTGGTAGTTCCAGTCAGAACAACAAGGGCATGGCTGAATTCATCGTCTTGCAAGATGATATTCACCGTTCTTGTTTTACTAACTGGGACGACCGGATTACCAGTCTGGAGAGCAGCCATTCAACTTTTTCTAACAAGTTGGATGACATCTCTGCCAAATTGGATCAGATCTTTACTCATATGAAGATCCGTACCACCCTGACCTTGCCTCCATCCCCTGGGCCTTATCAAGCAGGCCCTCGGCAACTCCCACAATCCAGACCTACATCCCCATCTTCTACACCCAAGTCAACAGCCGCTTCACAGCCCTCAGTTGCATTCGATCAGCAGCGTGACCCCTCCACCAACGTTCTCCGGCGAGGACCCTAAGGTGGATGTTGCAGATTGGGTCACTGCACAAAGAGACTACCTGAGTGGGTTCAAATGTGACGAGGATGTGAAAGTGTCAGCCATCCTTGCTTGTCCGGAGAGGACTGCACTGAAATGGTGCACCTCTACCTCCAGCAAGCAAGGTATGGAGATGTCTGATTGGGCGTAGAGGTTGGGGGTGACTGCTTTTTTGTCGGCCCTGCAGGATAGCTTTGCAGACAAGGAGCAAGCCAGGAAGGTAGCAGACAAAATTTTGCGCCTGGGCCACAAGAAATTTGATGGCTCCTTGTCCGAACTCTATTGTACCTTTGAGAGTCTGACCTCAACTCCAGGGTTAGAGATGAGTGAGCAGGATTTGCTCATTCATTTCTTACGTGCAGCGCCTGAGCAATACCAGCTGGCATTATTCTCTCAGGGCCACAAGGATTGGCGGTCCTTTGGCAGAGCAACCCTGGACCTGGAGCCCAAACTCCATGTCCAAGAAGCACCTTCTGAAGGAAAGAAGGGACCTTCCTTAAAGGGGTGAAGAAGTAGGAAGGGTGCCCTGTTTGCTACTGCAGCATCCAGTTCAGATAGTGATGCAGCATACTAGGGTGGGAACCCTCCATCTGGGACTGCTCCCTCATGTGTTGCAGATCCTGCTGTTCTTGCCTTGGCTGATGCTTTGATGGGCATGGCAAGAGGTAAGGCCCCAACCCAGAAAGCATCAACCAACAGCAAGGGGAAAGGTAAGGGTCGTGCCTCTTCCCCTGGAGCCCAGAGAGTACCATTACCATGCGACGTCCGTTGGCCAGCTGACCCCGTTGATC